ACAGCTTCCCACACGCCTCTTACCCCAACCCAGCTCTGGCCAGGGGATGGGGCGTTGGAACAGATGCCTGGCCATGGTAAGAGCTACGTAGGCAGCTGTGGGGAGCCAGCATGGAGCCCTGTACCCTCCACCTCCATCTGACCTGGCCAGAAAGCCTGGGGGGCAGGGACATGGGCCAGGGGCTTCACTCAAGCCCCCCCTTACTGTGGGCAGGTGGAGGGTCTGCACAGTTCCCACAACTACCCAGGCTTTCCAGCCAGGCTTCACCAGCTGCTGGCCTGGCTGAGGCCTTGGAAGGAAGAGGAAGGGAAAGGGGTAGGATCCGCCAAAAGTGGGAGGATTATGGCCCCCTGAGCTGCCCTGTTCTGGCACCACTAGTGTAGTGACTATACTCTACATGCCCCCGGAAGTGTAGCTATAGCTTAGACAGTAGCGGAGAGGGGGTTTTGTGGATCACAATGGTACCTAAAACTGTGACATAGGCATTTAAGACCTTTTGTGGATCTAGGCCTCAGAACTTAGGTCAAATTTGCAGGACCACTAGGTAAAAACAAAAAAGTTCTTTACTTGTAAACTGAGCACATTTGATCTGGAATCAGAGACACAATAAATGTAGAACACCAAACTGACAATTTCACAGTCATTTTTTCAGTAGAACTGTATTTTAAGCATATGCAAAGCAATGGACCATTTGGGGCCCTGCTCATCTGAAGACCTTGAGTCCCAGGCAAGCACTGTAGTTTATAGGCCAGCTCTACCAAACTCTACAGCTGTAAAAGTACAGTCAACCACTCCCATGGGTGTGGTAATAAACATCCAGACATAATGATTGATGGCTTAGTGCCCAGGAAAAGGAAGCCCAACAGCACCCCTGTCATAGTGAGCCCACAACAATGCCCATACCCATTAGGACAGCTTGCATGTGCCCCTTAATAAAGACATACCTATACCAGTGAGTTGGCTCAACAAAAAGCAGCTGTCTGAGGCTTAACTTTTATCTGGTTAACAGAACTGCACAAATTTTAACTTCCAAAGCATGCTTCTGTTTCCTTGTGGCATGACACTTGCCAGTTTATCTTGTGCAGTTAATGCAATGTTGAAAGAAAGGCTAGTTAATGAATGAAACTGAAATGATTACTAGCTTCCTCAGCCAGAGTCATGAGGTTATTAGAACAATTTACCTTACATTTAGAGGTCAATCTCAGAGAAACAATTTGCTCATAGAGTTCTATTTACACAAGAACTCAAAACATTTAAAATATAAAAGTGAAATTATTGATTTTATTAGACATTTGACAAGCTTAAAGACAGATTCTCATAGCTTTAAGAATATCAAACCTAGAATGCCAATGTGAATTGACATATTATGTTGTATGACATAGGAATGAACTAAATACTATCCTGAGATGTGGGGTGGGAGGAGAGAGTATCATGTCAAAGTGATGGGTACATAATGGAAGAGGCCTATCAGTAAACTACAGAACAATCCCCTGAATAGGTAAGAAAACTTGCTGAGATTCTGGAACCATAGTAAATCTGCTATTAGCAGATAAAGAGCATCAGATAAGAAAACAGATTTCACTGGAGGGTATTTTCCTTACTTTTGGATTGACTCAAGACACAAAACTTCTCCATATCTTTAGATGTCAACATAACTAAACAAAAAATGAAATCCTATATTAAATCTGTGAAAAATAAGGAGAAATGTTCCTTATTTCCTTTCTGATTAACTTACCAATACTAGATCTAATTTTCTAGCAAATCAGAAAACAGATCATATATAATCATATGCCCATCTTTAGAAGTCTGAAGCCTTATGCAACAAGAACTGAACTCAACTATTACAATATAGAACTAAAATTAGTACAAGAAATCAAGGAGATGATAAAAAAGATTAATGAATTCTTCTACATTAGTGATCAGATTTACTACATACTCTTAAGGGAAGTGATTCCATTCAACATATTTCAAGAATGTTAAGAAATTAAGTGTCCTAACTTGAGGAGTTTGACAGCTGATCCCAGAAAAAGCTGTATGATAAAAGCAGTTACTTGAGGAGACACCTTCATAGCAAGTTGAACTGGTTGCAGCTGGAACTTTTGTTTTGTTAGGGAAAGACGATGGGGAGTCTGATCACTAGAACCTTTGCTGCAATCTGATATCTCTAGTTCTTCAGCACATAGCCGGTGGCAGGAGGTAATGATGAACTAGGAAAGCATCCTGTAAACAGATTTGGGTTCCCAGCTTTATTTTTAAAAAAATCCCACCCTTTTAATGCATGGGCATAGAGTGTTTTCTAACCATTAAGCATGCCCCGTACGTTTCCTCTGTAGCTTCAGTGATCCTCGAAAAGGCGTGGGAAAGCGACGATACTGGAGGTTCCACGCAAATTCCTTAGGAGTAGCCAAGTGGTCCCTGCTTCGGGTCCAGCATGGACCACCCCAGGCTCGGGATTACAGTGAGAAATTTAACGTACGTGTGTGTGTAGCCTTCAGAGACTCACACAGGACGGTTACTGCACTGACCACCTTCCCTGCGTGCCTAGGAATCGCAACATGTTGCTATGCTACTTCTCTGTGGGAAATGAACGCTCACAGGCCAGGAGGTGCCTCAGAAGTGAGTGAAAATACCCCCTGTGTAAATCAACACAGACACGGAACCAGATCTACCAGCGAGTGGCACCTGAATATCCCCTCACCCAGGCGGGCAAGAGCAGCCAGAGGAGAAAGGCACTTTGCTGCTGGTGCTGCATCACTTTTTAAAGCGAGGTCCGGGCTAAATCGGCGGGAGCCGGGGGGCACTCTGCACCCGGATTAGAGCCCTGCTGCATCCTGTGAAATCCCATCCAGCCACACTGGCCCCTCTCTCTACCCCCTTCTCCTCCATCCACCCCACACATGTAACTCGCCCCCAGGGTCCTCACTGTGCCCCATTAGCCTAAAGGGCGGGAGTGAAGCAGGATCGGCCCCGGGGTTTTGCTCCAGGTTTGGCCCGGGGGCTCTCCGGGAGGGGACGAGGGCAGCGTGCGCCGCACCGGGGTACTCACCGCGGCGGACACCTCGCCGGGCTCCTCGCTCAGCAGAAGCGCAGCCAGCACCAGCCCCACGCCTCGCCACAGCCTCATCCTGCCGCTCTCCCCGCGGCGCGCCCCGAGCGAGCGAACGAGAGGGACCGAGCGCCCTGAGCTGGGAAGCGCTGCGTGCTCAGCGCCTGGCCGCGCGCAACTCCCGGGCCCCGCGCGCGTCTCTCCTCTGCCCCGGCTGCAGCGCCTCTAAAGCCAAAGAGGCGAGGGCTGCCCACATCCCCAATCTGTGGGCGGCTGCTGCTGCCCCCTCCCCTCGCGGGCGGTGGCTACTGGGAGGAGATCCTGCGAGGCTGGCCAGTGTCTCGTCCCCTCTGCATCGCCCACCTCCGGCCGGCCAGTCCCGCTCCTCCGGCAGAAGGAAGGGGGCAGGCTCCCGCCTCACCCCACAAAATCCACGCCACGCTGCGGGCTGGGAGGACTCGGCGGCCGGTCTGACTCCAGCCCCTCGCCTCGCTGCGGGGGACCGGCTCTGCAAGGCGAATGCGCCCGGCCTGGGAAGCCTAGAGAGGTGGGAGCGGAGAGGTGAGTATCGGACACGCGATGGGGGGTGCGGGGTGAGGAGAGCCGGAACCGCTCAGCCCTGCTCTGATCGCTGGGACCTCACACCTGGCCTGGGGCTGGCTCGGCGCTCCCGGTTGGCAGAGGTTTGGCTGGCGCCCGGGCAAGGCGTGCGCTCCGGTGGCCAGATGAGCGGAGACTCGGGTCGGCAGAGCCCCTGCAAAGGGCAAGGCTGTGCCTGGGGACAGTTAGCGGGGGGCTGGGACTATCGTTTCCTTTCCAAAGCCGCGATGTACCTAGTGCGTCCCTCCAGGGCAGCATTCTCGCCCTCTCCAAAGGCGTGCCGCTTGGGGAGTGCCCCTTGCATCGAGCCGCCAGGAACACGGAGATGGGAATCGCTAGGTGAATGGGAAAGACCTAGCTCAGCCCATGTAGCCTAACTCCTGTGTGCACAGGACTGTGCCCTGCATGCAGGGTGTGTGACCTGCACATTCCTTACTCCTCTTTCAAACTGTATTTCTCCCTCTCGCGCTGGATCCAGGGGGTTTCCAGGGACAGGAAAGCTTTGCTGCTGGGAGCCCTGCACAGCACGGGAGAGGAAGCAAGGATGAGAAGCTCGCGGTCCCTCTTCTCATGTCGTGTCCTTTGGCAGTAAGTAGCTTTTATCCTCTCCATACTTATTTCAAATACTTGTTATGATGGGCACTTCTAATCATTGCCAACATGGGGACAAAATTCTCTTCAAATGTAGGGTAGGGGCCTTTTCTTCACAGTAGCCTGTAAAGCTATATCAAACTTTGAGTGCTACAGCAATACAAATACTGAATGCTGTTGTGTTTCTCCTTTCTGTACAGGGCTATGCAGGTCGTGCTGCTCTTGGTGTTGACCTCGCTGTTAACCGGCAGAGTAAAAGCTGTAAGTTAAATGTCTTATCCCTTCATTGGAGGAGAGAGAAGGAAAAGGGAAGGGGGAAAATCCACAGCATTTTTATTTGAGGGGCTAGAGAATTAAGAAATTGCATTCTTCTTTGCCAAATGCCTGATCCATCTGTCATTTCCATTAAAAAAAATAACAGCCAGCAGATCACTTACACATTAGCATCTTCAATAAATGGTATAACAAAAAGCCCTAGAGTTCAGCATCCATCACTATACTGGATTGCCTTTTAGGGCTTGCCACATTCCATCCTTACACCCATTCAAATCAGATTATTTGTTAAAGCGATACCAAGTCATTACAAAAATTAGCCCAAGATTACCTTTAGTGCTGTCAATGAATCGCAGTTAACTCATGTGATTAACTCAAAAACATTAATCGTGATAAATCGCAGGTTTAATCGCACTGTTAAACAATAGAATACAGATTGAAATTTATTAAATATTTTTGGATATTTTTCTACATTTTCAAAGATATTTGATTTCAATTGCAATACAGAATACAAAGTGTACAGTGCTTACTTTATATTATTTTATTACAAATATTTGCACAGTAAAAATGATAAACAAAATAAATAGTATTTTGCAATTCACCTCAATAGGATAAGGGCCCTACCATCAATCAAATGTTAACCCCACCCCTTAAGCCCCATCCACCTGTCACCGGAAGTCCCACCTCATGGGGTATTACTTGGGGGAGTGAAACCAGACACATGACCAGAAGCAAGGTGTGTCATGTGACCCCTCTAAGAACTCCTCCCACTGCCCTCTACCAATCAGAAGGGGTTTCACCTTCTGGGCACCACCCCTGAGAGGAGATTTGACCAATCGGGGGGAATTCTGGGGCGGGGTAACCGGTCCGGAAGTGGTTCATGTGACCCCTCTAAGAACTCCTCTCACCACCCTCTACCAATCACGATGTGTTTCGGACACAGAGGACTGCCCCGAGAGCAGATTTGACCAAAATAGGGCAGGTTCTGGGACGGGATGAACTGCCCAGAAGAGGGTCGTGTGACCTCTTTAAGAACTCCTCCCACCGCCCTCTGCCAATCAGAGTGCAGCACCGTCACCCCATAAGTCCTAGCGCCAGGCAGAAGAGGCCATTTCTTACCAAGAACACGTGTTTTAGAAATCATGGAAAGGCTGAGAGGAAACATGGACTCCTTCACCACCTCCGTGAGAACTTCAGACTTTGTGTGGAGAAAGTGCTACATCAGCGACTGTTCCGAGAAGGGCCCTTTGACTCAACCATTGATGGATACGTCAGAACCCGACCCTGAAATCCAAGCCCCCATGAGTCACCCCAATGAGTGTGACGGCCTCTCATCGTCCACCCTCCTGGAGATGGAAGGCGATCATGGCTCGGGAGAGTCACCAGCGGACAAGGTGAACGGAAAAGACGTTGCTCAAGTAAATGAATGATTAAGAAGTGATGGTCGAGAATGGGGTGTAATGGGGTTAGGAACTGACCTGAGATTGCGTGAATCTAAAAACAAGCAGTGGGGTGCTTACACTGTTTCTTTTCTGAAAAACTCTCAACTGCTCGACGATGCCTTTCTAGAGGCCTTTGAGAACTTACACATTAGTAGCCCTGTGGGAGTAAATATATCGTGCATCAGCTGTTTTTGCTCATGTAAAATCCGGAAAAGGACAAAATGGAAGAATGAACCAGCTCAGACTTCCTCATAGTAGGGTGACATTTTCACAGGCAGCTGTAAAAGGTCGTGTTAAACCAGGCGATTAATAAAACTTGTTTAAATGTGTCAATATGAATGTGTCCCCTCCATACTCAAGTTAGTAAAAGACGGTACAAGGAACAGTCATGTCTATGCAGACGGCTCTGTTAAAGAAAATATATTACACCCCCAGGGAAGTTGGGACTTTGGCGGGGTGAACCCTCTTTTTCAAGTGGCCAAAAAGCATAGTAAAACTTTAAATAGATGACAGGTAACAGCTTGGCTTTCAGACCAGGATGCTTCCACTTTACACAAACCGGCTCGAATACATTTTAAAAGAAACAAGACCACTGTTTCAGATGTGGATACGCAATGGCAGGTAGATTTTGTGGATATGCACTGGTTCTCCAAACACAACAGCGGCTTTAAGTACATCTTAACAGCCTGGGCCTTAGGCCTAAAAGACAAGATGAGTGGTGAGGTATCCAAGGCCTTTAAAGCTATTTTCAGCGAAGGTCGCGTGCCTCAAAAATTACAATCCGATCGGGGGAAAGAATTTTTAAACAAACCTTTAAGCAGATTGTGAATGTGGTGCATGGCATTGACCATTTTGTTACTAATAATGAAGTCAAAGCAGGGGTTGTGGAGCGATTTAACAGAACTTTAAAAACTAGGATGTGGAGATATTTTACAGCCCATAACAACTTTTGCTACACTGATGTGTTACCTGACTTTATAACGAGGTACAACCAGAACTTTCACAGAACTATACGTACCAGACCTGTTGATGTTAACCCTTCAAATTCTCTGAAGGTATGGAAAATGGTTTACAGAGATGGTTTTAAAAATTGATTGTTGCCCCTTTTAGAAAAGGCGACCACGTGAGACTATCTAAAACCAAAGGAGCTTTTGAAAAAGGTTATGAACAGATGTTTACCGATGTAATAGTCATAGTGTATGAAGCCTTAACCAGGGGCCAGAGACCTGTATACCAATTAAAAGATTATGAGGGTGAGATAGTTACTGGATCTTTTTATCCTGAAGAATTACAAAAATTAAACCCCAAACAAGACAGGATTTACAGGATTGAAAAAGTTCTAGTGGAGAAAGGAAATGGGAGAAAAAAGCAGCTACTGGTGAAATGGTTGGGGTGGCCCGATAAGTTTAATAGCTGTTTGGAAGCTTCTCAACTCTGTAACATTGAGATGCGAACAAAAGCTATTCCTCCAGCAAAGAGAGAGAGAGAGAAATAAGCGACGGTGGATTTTACATCACTTTGCCCAGCAATACCAACTCGAACTTTACAATACAGCTAATTAAACCCTTGGATCTCCCGGGTGCGTGGGAGGTGGGGTTAGTGGAAATACAATACTCGCATAGCTGGAACACTATCAACGAAGACACCCCTTTCAAAATCACCTTTGGAGATATGATGTGGAGTTTCATCCTACAACGAAGTTATTACTCGTCCCTACCTGAATTACTGATCATATGAACAATACTGTGGCTCATCACCCAGGACTGCCCAAGGTGGGCATGAGCTACGACCTGGTGGGTAGAAAAGTTAGACTTAAATCCACCAATTTTACTTATGTGTTTTCTACCAGCAGATAACATTCTGGGTTTGGGCCCTATGCACAGCATCCAAAATATCCCCTTCTTCGGCAGACATCGCAGGGGGTTTCAACTCCTTGTATCTGTACACGGATATCGTAGAACACCAGTCTGTGGGGGACTTTTCTGTTCCCCTGTTACGCTGCTTCCCCATCCAAGGAAGGAACAACGAGTTTGTCACCATCACCTAAGATAAACCTCATTACATCCCTGTCAGTAAACACCACATCGACACCATCACCATTGAAATAAAGACAGATCAGAACAGACACGTCTCATTTCGCTTCAGTAAGGTGATCATCAAGCTGCACCTGCGTCCCCAGAGAGAGCGAGATTTCTAAAAAGCAAAACACTATGATGGCGATCCCAAAAAGTTACTGCGACCCCACCATCTATAGGAACTGTTACAAAGCCCAGACTGGATACGCCCTTCCTGGATATCATGGGTCCCCCGTGATGTACGGGGC